CATTCAAAGGTGCGTGGGCGTAGCTTGTCCCGCTACCTCACTTGCAGACTCGAGTATAGTTATATACATCACAAATACAAGCTTATATTACATTTTCAGCTTTCATGAAACTCTTGCAATTTTTTGGCGCTGGCTCTCGGACTATAAAGTGTGTTTTTTTTTTAAAGATAAAAGTCAAAATGACATTATGTTGGCAATACAATGTAAAATTGTCAATGCTTTCAAATTTTTTGTGTAGAAAAGGCTTGTGCTGTCAACATAGTTATTAAATTTTTGACTTGGGGAATTATCTTCACTTTAATTCGAGGACTGCAAAGTGAAGTTTGATTGCAAAATAGTGGGAACACTAGTGTAGTGTGAACATTATTAGCGGTTTCCATTTGTCGAACCAGTGCAAAAAAAATGTTTCCTTATCCTTACATGTTACATGCCTTTAGAAAAAGATGCGGATACACTCAGTGCGCATTGATTGACAAATGGAAATCTCCATAAGCTAACACTGAGACAGTTAAAGTGATTTCCATTTGTCGCACCAGTGCAAAAAAAATGTGTCCATATCCTTACATGTTACATGCTTTTAAAAAAAGATGGTGACACACAGAGCGCACTGATTGACAAATGGAAATTGCCATTAGTCAGTGCAAGCCAATGACCTATTAACACAGATAGACAGAACAATAAACAATAATATCGGTTGACTACATGCCAGGAACCGCATCTCTCCCCACTCCTTATTAATCCTTGTGTTATTTTGTATCTTTCTCTAACACGTGGAAAGCGATTATTTTTCAATGAAAATTAGCAACGCTGCAAAAAAATAAATCCCACCTCGAATTCCACCTTCCACCAATCAGCGGCTTCTATTCAATTGTCATGTCAAAATGCGACCTGCAGGTATTTTAAGACAATTTCCATTTGTCAATCAGTGCGCAGTGAGTGTTTCCGCATCTTTTTCCAAAATTATGTGAAACATAAGGATAAAGATACACTTTTGTAGCACTGATTCTGGTTTCATTTTCAGAGTTGCCAAGTATGCGATAGCAAAATGGGGGCGGAGTTAGCGGAATCATTTGAATCCCTACTCCTAGCCGCTCTCACAGCTCACCCCCCCTGGCCCATAAACATGTAGTCAACCAAAACAAAGCTATTTTATCAATGGGATGTTCTGTCTATCTGTGTTAATAGGTCATTGGTGCAAGCAGTGACCTTCAGAAAAAGAGACTTAACCGGATTGTGTAAATTACCCCGGAAGTGACTGTATACCCGATTTTGACTGTGATAGTGAATTTTCAAGTAAGTTCTAGAAAATTCTATTTGGAAACCAAGTGAGATATCGACTTCGTCGACGTATTTGATACATCAATCGTCATTCAGAATGGTACATTGTGTATCAAGGACGGAAAGGAGACGATTTCGACGAGTGTGAAGTTATATATCGCACGAGTCGAAATCACTTTACGACCGTGGTGCACACAGTACTTTTTGAGCAATATTTTTGGAAACATTTTTAATAAATATTATTTGTATTAAATTCAAAAAAATTGAAAAGATTCAGGGACTGCCCGGCTGTCAACTGCGCATGCATGACAGTCAGCGGGCTGGAATTGTCAACGTTCTGCCCGCTTCACATGCTTCAAAAAGTCGTGTTATTGAGCAGGTTGCGCAAAAAAAGAATTTCGAGGAGTTTCGGAAAAATTCTATAACATACTATTTGGAAACCAAGGGAGATATTGAATTTGTGACTTTACCAGCATGTTTGTTTTATCAGTCTACATTCAGAAAATAGCTATTTACCTAACAAGTGCGGAAAATGATTTTTTCCGCACGCGGCTGCCGTTCACCGAACGACGCGTAGCGGAGTTCGGTGAAGCAGCCGAGTGCGGAAAAATATTTTCCGCAAGTGTTAGGTACAATATTTTTCCTACAGGCGTAAAAATGTAAAATTTTTCTTTTTTTTTTTGACAGATCAGTGCGGTAAAATTTTTTCCGCACTGACAGCCGTGCGGAAAAACTTTTTCCGCACTGATATGCGTGCGGTAAAAGTTTTACCGCACCGTGCGGGAAAACTCATTTTCCGCACGCATATCAGTGCGGAAAATCGATTTTTCCGCACGGCTGTAGGAAAAATACATTTCAAGAAAATTCTATAATATACCATTCGAGAATATTGCAAGTTATCCAATTTGTGACTTCGCCGACGTGTTTGGAACTTCAATCAAAAACCAGGAAAGATATTTGAAGAGAGTTTGAGGGAAATTCCAGAATATTCTGTATATCACGAGACAACAAGCAAAAATGAAAGAACAAATAATTGAAGAACTTCTGCGCAAAATGTTGGAACTTCAAGAGACCAAACGGCAACAAGAAAAACAAGACGAAGACGCTAAACGACAACAAGAAAGACAAGACGAAGAGGCCAGACGACAAAAAAAAACAAGAAGAAGAAGCTAAAGGACAACAAGAAAAACAAGACGAAGAGGCCAGGCCAGGAAGAAAAACAAGAAGAAGTAGCTAAACGACAACAAGAAAAACAAGACGAGCAGACCAGGGGGCGGATTACGAACTCTCGATTCGAACCGAAACCGCCCTGTTACACCAAAATTTTGATTTCGAACGCACGAACACGAAACGAAACTTGTACCTAATCATCACTGACGTTTCGAGCACAATCGATGCGTATTCACCTTCGTATCGAGTCTCCGTTTCGAGTCGTGTTTTCGCAATCCTCCCGCTGGACATCAGGCAAATTCATCTTAAAAAAAAAAAACAATTATGAATGAAGGCCAGAATGGAGGGAATTTTTGAACAAAAGTTTGATTTACTAGGCGTTGTGGACTCAGTGGAACTCTCTAGCCCTAGAAAATGGTTTACCTAAAAGAGCCTGGAAAAGTGCCGATGAGAAAACCACGAAGAGCCAACTAGTTATTCCAAAAGATCAAGTAGAAGATGTATTAAAAGACATACATGACGGAACTTCAGGGGCACATTTTGGAGTTAACAAGACTTTGGACAAAATTCGAGAACGTTTTTACTGTACCAGTTTTTAATATCATGAAGATATTAAAAACTGGTGCCGAAAATGCGACCTTTGTACTACCAGTAAAGGCCGTAAACCAAGATCTCGGGCCCATGAAACTGTACAACGTCGGTCAAACATTTGAAAGAATAGCGATAGATGTAGCCGGACCGTTCCCTGAGTCGGAGCAAATACATATTAGTTATCATGGATTACTTCAGTAAATGACCAGAAGTTTTCGCTATTCCCAATCAAGAAGCAAACACTATTACCCTGGTGCTAGTGGACGAAGTTTGCCGGCTGAATGTATTATTTTATCGGTGAATTCAAACCTTCGAGAGGACATAGGCGCTTTCCTATGTCCTATCTTGATCTGCTCGACTTGGTACTTCGTTGCTCTTTAACCTCGTTAATAGTTTTCGAACGTAGTATTTTTTACATACCTAGCTGACGGTCGACAGGTTGACAGTGTTTTCCTTCAATACTGTCATGTGAAAGCTATTTATTCTCGAAGAGAAAATTGAGGGGTCCCTTTTCCGGTTTGGTTGCTCAACCAACTGGCCGCCATAATTGGTTCCTTAAAAAAGGTTTCCTTACCGAGTACCTAGTACTGCTATTGGGAATTTCTTTTCCGAAATTAACTTGCTGAAAGCGATGTTCAGTCGATTACCGAAATAAGCATTCCAAAAAGTCTGGTGATTTTCCTGTAAATTCAGTGTTTATGTAACCCCACAGTTTTTAATCCATCCAAAAGCGATCTTTATTTAAGGGAATATTTCTATTATGTTAGGGTCTTTCGTGGAGTTGGCTTCCCTTTCCTTTAAAGATACAAATTGGCTGTTTTCGAGACTGCTCTTTTCTTCCAAGAAGAAAGCCTTCACGTGTTCCATGTTGGACCACCATGACAATCCTGCTACTTGCTAGTACAAAGTGATGCAACAGGCAAACCGCCCCGATTTTTTTGAAGGGCGATTTCTCAAATCTACAGGCCTCCTCTCGATCCTATTTTAAATTATGATAATATTTGCATAATCTAAATATGGAAGACTAAAGAATTCCTATTTAAAATTCAATTTGATTAATTGAAAAATTATAGTGCCTCATTCTTGTCAATGAAGTCTATTTAATTATTACATTTTTAATATTTTATTTCTATTACTTAAATTAACTTCTGTAATGCCATTTATTGTAGATGTTCCCCTGGAAACCCTGAAGTATGTGTAGGTTATCATGTAAAACGGTAGCCATGGAAAATTGATCAATTTTTTTTTTATCCATAGTTAATTCATTAACAAAAGGGGTCACAAGTGTCGGCGAAATTGTCTTCAGCATGGGAAGGACCCTACAGAATAATCAAGAGGAAAAATGATTTGGTTTATCGAGTGCAGCGCAACGCTAGGAGTAAGATGAAAGTTGTACATCTGGACAGATTGATGAAATATTATAGGCGTGAAGTTGATCGGTACGATGTGCTTTCGCCAAGGTATACAGAATCCATGTCTTAAATTCCATAAAAGACTGCTTTGTTCAAGAAAGGGAATTATCGCGTTTATTCTGGATTTTACAAGAATGGATTACAGATATATAAAGGCCGGTATTAGTCAGTAGTTCTGAAGTTTAAGTTTGGCTGTGATACGTTTTAGATAGTGATTATTGTAAAAGTTCTAAAAAGTTAAGTTGTTTGAGTTAATTAGTGAAATAATTAGTGTCAGAGTGTGTAGTAACGGGGAATAAATTCTTTTTGTATCAATTGGACTTTGATTTTGGAATAAATGAACCCAAGATTTCTGTCACGCACCCCAGAGCTGTGAAAATATTATATAGGTAAATGCATGCACAAATCTTTCAACATATGGGAAAAGTTTGATGAAATCAACAATTATTCATTATTTCTCTTCCACTTCCTGAATTGAGGGACAAAACCGGCGAACCCATCTTTTAGTGGTTAAATATTTATTCCATTTTCCATCATCTTACTCGTTGTCTATAAGTAAACTTTTTACGTATAGGTACAGCATCATCAAAAACAAAAACGTTTATATTATATAGGTATATCACTTTATTTAAGAAAAATATAAAAGTATTTCTACATCGGTATTCACCACAATTACCTATTAATCTATATTGATCAAACACACAAAAATAATAATGACAAAAAAGTTCAAACTTGTGTGCTAAATGGTGAAAGATGTCATTAGAACATTCTATACTGGAACCAGTTCCACAGAATTTCAGCCATCCTGAATGAGTTTAAATTATGGTAGTTAGTATTAGAAGGAGAAACTTAATAAGTAGGTACCTAGTTATCACAATAATTGAAAAATAAGTGGGAAGTGGGAGATGGAAGTTCATTAGAAGCGCAGGTATCAGGATGGAAAGAATGGAAGCCTCAAGTTGTTGCACAAAGTTTATATGAAATGAAAAGCAGAGACCGACGTGCAACTATACACAGGCCAAGAAATTAGGACGGAATACTAGTCAGAGTCCAAGATTTTCACAAAGATCATTATGATGATTAGAGTTGATCAGCATTTCAATTTGTCTTTTACCACAGATAAATAAAGTCTCAGAAAATAGCCCAGGCATAATAACCGAAAAAAAAAACAAAAAAAACGTCACATAGGAACTAGAACTGGCTTCATCCCCACGATTAATAACATATTCACATAGGAACTAGTATATAACTGTTCAAAAATGTGGATACATTAAAAAGTAGTGCTTATAAAGTGTTTAAATAAATTGATAAAAGAAATAAAGAAATTTCTGTAGGACCCACAACGAAACAAATAAAATTCCTACTGACTTCCAATTTCCAGATTCCCAAAGTACTTACTGATCGACACCGTATTATATAATCGAGTAAATAAATGAAAATGATTCGGAAAATCCGACAAAAGATTTTTCAAAATAGTGCAAAGCCTATTATTCAAGTCCTTATGATATTCATATTCCGCTTGTAGGTTGTGCCTTTTAGTGTGCAAATACGGTTGTCTATTGGCAGCCAATTCCCTGTACATATTCAATTTCCTTTGCAATATTACCAATATTTCAAATTTCAACTGTCTTTGTGTTTTCGATGTTTCAATTTCATCCCTCAAAGATTTTTCGTAGTTTTCATCGAAGCTGATATCGTCCTTGGTCTTTTGGATTTCATGTTCGATAAGTCGTATTTGGGCTTCAACGCTGGCACTTTTTTCTTTGATGTTTTTAATTTCATTTTGAATTTGTTTGATTTTATTTCGTAGATCGTCCATTTTTCTAGTGTTATTGATGCGCAATTTTTGTTCTGATGCTTTAGATTTGGTCTGTCTGGCGTTTGCCACTGTAAAAATGGCATCTCGCCTAATCACGCAAAGTTCTAAATCTTTAACGATTTTTTCTTGGGCTTTTTTTAATTGACTGTAAATTACATTCATTCTTTGTATTTCTTGTTTCATATTTATTATTTCGCTTGATGGTCCTTGCGAGCCCCGCATTTCTGCTTTAGTCTCGTTGACTAGTTTTACTTTTTTGTCCCATTCTAAAGCTTTTCGATTTATTTCTATTAATTTCTTGCTAAGAGCTATTTTTTGTTCTTCTATTTCGGCTATATCTGCCTCGATTTTGAGATATTCTAATTCGGCTTCTTTTAACTTGCCATCGAACTCAAATTGTAGATGATAATTTGTTTTATCCAAATTAATTTTTGTGTTTTTCTTTTTATTTAACTGATCACATAAAATGCTTGTTTTATTTTGTAGATGGTTGATATTGTGTAAAGTTTTTTCTTCTTGTTTTTTGTAATTTTCAATTTCTTGGCTAATTTTTAAATTTTTCTGTTGCAATATAAAATTTTCCTTTTTCAAAAGATTGAGTTTCTGGATTTGTTCTTGTTTTTCTTGGGACATGCTCAGTACATTCCTTTCCTCTCTCATCCAAAATATTTGTAAATCTTTTATTTTATCTTGGGTTTCTTTGATTTGTTTTTCTAGAGAGTTGAGGCGTATTTCTTGGGGGGATAATAAAATTTTTATTTGCATTTTTTCTAGTGTTTTTTCTAGTTTGTCGCTAAGTTCGGTGATATGATTTTCTTTTTTCATAAGTGCCATTTGATATTTGTTCTTTTCAACTTCGATACTATCAGCTTCTTTCTCTAAATCATTCTTCAGTTTTTTCATTTCAGTCAAATTCATTTCTCTTCCTTCATTATTATATTTTTCAGTTTCCATTTGAGAAAGCGATTTGCTTAGCTTATTTTCCGCTTCAGTCATTATAATTTCGAGATCTTTGCCTTTTTCTTTCAACGAATTGAGTTGTCGATACAAACTCTCGCAAACTGTATCATTTGCGGCTTTAACCTCCAAAGTCCCCAAAAGTTGCTTTTCTAATTCAAACTTTGTAGAATTGATTTTATGAACCTCTTTTGTTAAATTGCTTATTGCTAGTTCTTTCTGATAAACTTCCTCACTTAAATTATGAACATCAGAATCGGTTTGTTCTACAATTGCTTGCAATTCTGATATATCTTTAGCAAACTCATTATATTTCATGGATTCTTCATCTAACAAACGTTTACAGTTACTGATATCTAGCTCCGCTCTAGCTTTGATAATGGCTAAACGTTGATTTTCGTTCATTTCTTTTTTTGCTAGTTTCTTTATTTGGTCCATTTCGGATATTTTAGCTTTTGTTTCCTCTTGTACTTTATTTATCTATAAAAAAAAATATAGTGAGGTATTTGAATAAAAGTAAAAAAGGAATCCTACTTCGGCTACCAAATTTTCAACAATGCGATCTCTGTTTCCTATGGCTACCACCACAGAACTCCAGGAATGCATTAAACAACGCTGTTCGGCCTGTAGAGCCTCGAGATTTGTGTTACCCAGTGCTACTGTTTGTTCCAGTTCTTCTCTTTCAGTTTCTATAGAAAAAATATGAATATATAATTCAGGTTCATGTGGAATGTCCAAAATATTTAATGCCAAAATAAGTGGCTAAAGTATGCACTATCTTAGGAAGTAATTTGCATTTGTATACCATTGTATGTATATTCCTCTATGTTCTAACTCCCAAAACCAAATAATATATTTTTATACAGTGTGTTGGATTTTCTTCGCATGCAAACATTTCAATTAAAATTGATGCAACATTTTCTTGTCTCGACTAGGATTTGAACCCAGGACCCTCACATTTCTAGTGCAACGCTCTTCCAACTGAACTACCAAGACGTATTTCATTTCTACCTTGTCGGTCAAGTCTTTCATCAATTTTCAGTTGTTGTAAAGACTAACGGTAACCTTTAGCGGATGCATCGTCGACATATTGTCAACTCATAAATGTCTACAAGCCCACAAACTATACAAATAAAATGAATGCGGCGCTTGTACTACAGACAATTAACTAACTCTGCTGACAGTAGCAATAATTCTTGTATAAATTACGCGCACCGTAATGCAGTCAGGCAGAGGTTAGTCTCCACAGCCTTAAGCTCCTTGAGGGTACAGGCCTAAAGATTTTCTCTCCAAGTTGGTTGTGACTTGCGACAGTTCGACTAAGATCCTAAGGTGGATCTCATGCCGTAGAAGCCCCAATCAACGCCCCAAACCTAGACCTATAGAAACTAGGCTCCTCGAGGGTACATTTTCATAAGGCTGTTTGGGTACTATTGACAGCGTAGGGCTTTTTCAAAAAAATAGGCATTCCAAGAGAATGTTAAATGACGGCCAACCAGGGAAGAACATTTACTGCGATCTATTTTTGGTAAACCCTATTTAATCATTTCCTACATAAATTAGGGTGTAGCAATAGATGTATTAACTACTAGTGGTGAAATCTTTCCTTTCTCCCCATAAACTCTTTTCAGGATAAACCCTTAGCCGACGCAGCCAAGTGTAGATGAAGTGGTGGCACCGCTGACCACAAACAACCTAAGCGTGACACATGGTGGAGGCGCCCTTTTTCCTGAACCACCTTGATGACCTAGCCAAAGAGTCGATGCCAGAACCACCCCAGAGGACTGAAAGGATCGACAACTTTTGAAAAGTTCGCCATCACGTCAAGAAAATAGTAGAAGACAATAAATTCGAACGGATGAGCGAAAACGAGGTAAGTCCGAACGCTGAAAGCACTCACATTGCAGACGAAATATTACAGCTAAGAACAAAGCAAAAATTGGACTTCTCCGAAATTTTAGGAGCAGGAATAAGTAACTACTCAAAATATGTAAGTGAAGAACACGGAGACAACACTGAGGAGAATCTAGAAGAAACTGTGGTAGAAGCAAACCAGCTTGCCCCGAAAAACAAAGTCGAAGACGCAGATTCGTCTTATAAAAAATCACCAGACAAAGAAACACCAAACCGGAAAATACAAGCAGCCATGGCGAATATCACAATCCAAAACACAACCGCCTCTGGTAGAAAGGCGACGATCCCTCAATTTATAAGCCCAACAACTTTTCCCCCATGCAGAGTTAACGCTAATGACTTTCTAAACAGTTATGAGAGAACAGCAATTGTAAATGGATGGGATGAAACGCTGAAAATAGCATATTTCGACACATTTCTGGATGGAGCATCAAACTTATGGTTCCAAGAGTACAAAGATGCACACAGGAACAACGGCTGGGAGGATATCACCAGAGATTTCAAAATAGAATTTGAAGACGTCGACTATCAAGCAAAACTGAGGAAAAAATTTGAAGATAGAAAACAAAAGGAAGAAGAAATAGTGGTCAACTATCTATAGGAATTAAGGGAACTCTACAGAAACTACAATAAAGTGATGAATATGGAGGAATTATTAGATACCTCCAGCAATAAAGGCATGACAGAGGATAATTACTATAATTATTACTGGCTCACGAATACACCAATTAAACCTCCCGCAACAATAGACGAGTTGAAGAAAATCGCAGCAGCGATTGATAAAGCTCCAAAATCCAGCTCTTCCATTAAAAACACCTACAACGATTCAAGGGAAAGAAATAAGTTTAACCCAAGAGGATCCTTTAACCCGGGGTATAGACAACAGAATCGGTCTAGGAACACAAATTACTCTTCAGCTCAGTGCAATAACGGATATGGTACAAGGCAACAAAACAACAGGTACAACAATCAAAATACGAACAACTCAAGAGGCTGGCAGAGCAGGGGGCAACGCAAAACAATTTTTCACGAAGTAATAAGCCAAGTTACCAAGCAAATAGCGACTCCTACCAAAGAAACCAAGCTAACACAGGTCAATTCAGGCAAAACAGTCAACCTCCGAGAAATTCCAGAAACAGCCAGGAATGTTACAACTGCGGTAAATACGGCCATTTTGCGGCCACTTGTGGACAAAGATACCCAAACGCACAAGGATGTCGCAATTAGAAGCCCCAGCCATCCTAACAGAAGGGCGAAACAATGCGGGCATTCCATTATTCAACATAAAAAATAAACAACTCCAGTCATGGCAATAATAGACACCAGTTCTCAAAATAACATGATAAATGCGGACTTGATAAGAAAAGGGACTTGATAAGAAAAGGCAAGATAGAAAGCTCCAATGTAATACTAGTTACAGCAGGGGGATATAAAATACCCGTTCTGGGAGAAGTAATGGCATCTATACAGATTGCAGGCATAATCTACACATGCAAAATGAATGCAATCAATAGAGTGCTGTACCCGATTATTCTAGGAATGAATTTTCTGAAAGCAAACCAAGCTACTCTAGATCTGAACCGAAACACTATAAAGTTGAAGGGACAAAGGATTTTAAGACTAAGTCAAACAAAAGTAATCAAGAAGGAAACACCATCAGGTATAGCCATAAATCACTGAAACCAAAAACGAGACGAATAAAGGAAGAGCAGACCAAGAAACAAGTTCGGAAGATTCAGGCAAAATTTATCTAAAATAACTCAACAAGAAATCGACAATAGGATACAAGAAGTAACGGGAAAAAATAAAGATTCGCTACACTTCTTGGGGAGGAACAGGCAAATGGAAACCAGAGAATTAAACGAACAAATAAAAGGAATGCTCCCGGATATAAAAAGGTCACCAGGAAGAGTGGGACAAGTAACGACAGAATCACAGGGAGGCAAAATAGCTCTTTTCCAATGTATAAGGCAGACAAGGGAAAACCCATCATTAAGAAACCTATACAGATGTTGGCAAAAACAAAAAGCTACGTACTAGAACAGAACATAGAGTCAATTTGTGTACAACAAAAAGTATGGGGACTAAAAAGTAGAACCTGGAGGTCTATGAAACACATAATCACAGAAATATTCAAAGATACCAACATAAAAGTCCTGATACAGAAAAACGAGAAAAATATACAAGAACCAGAAAATATAATGTGCAACATAACTATAGATGAGCAACCAAGTAGCTTGAAACTAGGAGTGACCGAGGACCACTCCCTGAATGCCCAGGAACCAAGAACCATAGAACTATATCCTACAAAAAATATAAGAGTAAACGTAAAATACCGCTGCAAATATAATACCGACATACTAGCCAAAAAAGCAATAACTATAGAATCACACATATACACAAATGAGGAATCATTATTTATAAAAATCAAGTCAAATCGTCTAACCAATATACACAGAGGAACAACAATAGCCTTTTTAGAAGAATATCAAAAGAATACAGAGATACCGTACAATATGCTAGAAGTTAATAAAGATAGAGGAAGACCATAACATAAAGGGCCAAAATACTAAAAAAGCATTACAAGACCTTTTGAATGAGTTCAATAATGTCTTCGCCAAAACTCCAAAGTACATGGGCAAGACAAACTCAACAAAACACAGAATTGAAAAAGAGACAGACACCAGACCAATAAAAAGGCGCCCTTACAAAGTGACACAGCAAGAAAGGGAAAAGATAGACGAGCAAATATAGGAAATGTTAGAACATGATATCATCAGGCCATGTCACTCCCCATAGACAAGCCCAGTAGTGCTGGTAACTAAAAAAGACGGGTCTACAAGATTTTGCATAGATCATAAAAAACTTAATAATGTGACAAAGAAAACAAATTATCTATTACCTCAAATCGATGACATAATAATTTACCTGAGCAAAGCGAGATATTTTAGTACCTTAGACATGTACTCAGTATACTGGCAAGTACCGGTAGAGGAATATTCAAAACAATACACGGCATTCGTGGCACAAGGCCATGGCTTGTACGAGCTCAACGTTCTCCCATTCGGATTATGTAATGCTCCGTCTGTTTTTCAAGAACTCTCGGATATGGTCTTTTGGGATTTAAAATGGAAGGAAGTATTAGTGTATATGGATGACATTATCATTTTCTCAAAAACGGAAGAGGAACACATACAAAAATTAGGAAAAGTACTCCAGAGATTAATGGCCGTTTGCACCGACCATTTTAAGAAAGCCTTAACGATAAGTATCCCTTAAAATGACATTTTTACATGGAGAAACGTTAAGGAATACTTATCGCTAAGGCTTCCTTAAAATGGTCTGTGCAAACGGCCATAAGAGAAGCAAACCTTACCCTAAAACCCAGACATATCTCCAAGAAGAAATAAAAATGTTGGGATTCACAGGAAATAGAAGCGGGATAAAACCAAACGAAGAAAAGCTTAAAGGCATTGAAGAGCTCCCGAAACCAAGGCAGTTAAAGGAAGTGCAAAGCTTTCTAGGACTTTGTAATTTCTGTCGAAAATTTATGAGATTTCTCCTCGATCGCCAGACCGTTGCATGAAGTTACAAGAAAAAATAATTTGAAATGGGGGCCAGATCAATAAGAGGCATTTAACATCTTGAAATAAATACTAACGTCAGCACCTCTATTACAACATTACAATCCCGACATAGGATGCACCCTACATACCGACGCTTCAATCAGGGGAATAGGGGCAGTCCTTCTGCAAAAAGGAGAAGACATTGAAGACAATGATTTACACCCAGTTACATATAATATATGCTTTAAGCATAAGTCTGTCAAAAGCAGAACAAAATTGCGCAATCACAGAGCTGGAGCTTTCAGCAGTAGTCTGGAGTCTAGTATATTTAAGACACCTAGTATATGGACGTCCTGTAGAGATAGTAACTGACCACCATGCACTATGCTGGTTGGACTCCATGAAAGAAAATAATAGGAGACTAGCAAGATTACAAAGTGATTTACAAAAAGGGTAGCGCACACAACGATGCGGACTGTTTATCAAGGAACCCAGTACTTAACGCATTATCACCAATTTAGGAAAAGAAAATGGACGAAATACCCACCTTCACCAAAATCAGCAAAAAAAAAAAATAGCTAGAAAGCACTAAAATTAGTAACTTACAAAAACAGGAAAAAGATGTGGAAGAAATTATGAGAGCAGTAGAAAACCCAGATGACAAGAATATTCCTATAGCAACAGGGACAGGGAATAGAGCGAAAAATTTTAGGATAATTAATGATAGGTACTTTATACAAAACTAGTTATACAAACAAAGGATTAGAAAACTTACTAGTGATCCAAAAAAATCTAATAGGGGAGAGACTGTGGGAAATGCACGCAGCACCAACCGTAGGACATCTAGGACTAACCAAAACAATTGATAAATGTAGAAATAGATACTACTGGGTAGGGATATTGAAAAATATCGAAAAGTAGGTACATAAAAGGTAGGTACGGAAAGGACAACCCTACAGAAAAGTTCCAGGTCTTCTGCAACCAATACAAGTGGGATGCGTTATGGACAAAGTTGGGATTGATCTTCTCGGTCTGTTTAGGAGAAGCAATAATATCAAAACAATGATAATAGTTGCTACTGATTATGCATCACGATATGCAATCACGGAGGCATTACCAAATGGAAAAGCTGGCCCGGTGGCAAAGTTTATATTGGAGAAGATTATTTTAATACATGATGAAGCACCCAGAACGTTATTAAGCGACAAAGGGAAAGTTTTTCAGTTGGAAATGGTGAAGGAACTTGCTCAAATTATGGGAATAAGAAACCAATTCACTACAGCATACCATCCACAGTGGTTGCAATGGCTTAACTGAGAGACTAAACAAAACAATGGCCGACATGCTGGCGGTATACTGCAATACAGAACAAACAGATTGGTGTACGTGCCATTTGTAACTTTTGCTTATAATACAGCAATCCAGGATAGCACGAAGCTGAGCCCATTTATGGTGACTTTCGCCAGGAAACCGACATTACCGTCGGAGGCAATACTACTGGAGGAAGACCTGGTTGAGAAAACATACATAAAAGACAAAGGAAAGACAAAGTGAGGTTTGATAGCAAACACAGGGATTTGCAATTTGATATAGGAGACAAAGTTAAAAAATTTCTACCAGTAAGGAAAGTGGGCCGAAGTGAAAAGTTATTTTTGAAATGGTTTGGACCACAGAATATAGTAATAAAATTAGGAGAAGTAGGTAGATTACGAAATACAAAAAGTTGGAGGGAAAAAGAAGGACACAGTCCGGACTAATAGGTACTCATAATTGTAACATATAGTATAAAAATAGATTCAAATAGGTAGACATATAATTTTTTGAATAAGGAACTAATCTTAGAATCAAAGTGCTTGCAACAGAAGTCGCTCCAGACCCCCTAAAGTTAACATGATCGCGACACTTTAGCCGAGGTTAATTCGTTGACGAATGTGATATTTGAAGCCTAAGTAAACTTTGCCTAAGTCGAGTTATCTTTTAAATAAAATACAAGGAATATTTTTATTTTCAATAGTGATAGTTAGAATTAAGAGTTTAGGGAATGCCTATAGCATACTGTTAATAGGTACCTACTATAAGTTAATCAATCCTAATTTTAAGTAGACTTTGTAGTAAACCATCATAGATCCGTAGATGTAATACAACTAAAAATATACAATTATTTAGCAGGAATAAGCCTATAGACACTTTGGGTAATTCAGGAAAATATATTGTATTAATTTTAAGTTAAGGGTTGACCAATAAAACAAACTTTTTTGGCATGCAGACGTTTTAATTAAAATTGATTTGTCTTTTCTTCTCGTCTGCATGTGAAGAAAATCCAACACACTCTAAATTATTATAACAGACGAAAAAACCTATGGAAATTGTGAAATCATTGGCAAAACAGTCATTATTTGCGAATGTGTTCCCCTATACCTTCTAACTCAGTCCCATACAAACGATAACCGCCAAAGGTTGCCGTTGGTCTCCACAACTAACAACTTGAAATTGATGAAAGACTTGACCGACAAGATAGCAATGAAACAGGTCTTGCTAGCTCAGTTGGTAGAGTGTTGCACTGGAAATGCGAGGGTTTTAGGTTCAAATCCTAGTCGAGGCTTGTATTGTAAAAATTGTGTGATTATTGGCTTGTATTGATGGTTGGGCGTACCCGTAGCATCCCGATATCTGCTAGAGTCGCTATATGTCGACGACGCATCCGTGGTTGAAGGGATAATAGATTCCAAAACAGCCAATAATTGCGAATGGTTCCCCTATACTCTCTAACCCACTCCCATACTAACGATAACCGCCGAAGGTTGAAATTGATGAAAGACTTGACCGACAAAGTAGAAATGAAACAGGTCTTGGTAGCTCAGTTGGTAGAGCGTTGCACTGGAAATGCGAGGGTCTTGGGTTCAAATCTTAGTCGAGGTAAGAACATTTCTCATGAATTTTAATTGAAACTTCTACATGCCAAGAAAATTCAACATACTGTAAATTATATAACAGACGATGAAACTTGTAAAAATTCTTAAATTATTGGCTTGATATTGATGGTTGGGCGTCCCATCCCGATACCTGCTGAAGTCGCTATATGTCGACGACGCGTTCGTGGTTGAAGGGATAATGTATTCCAACTATTCCAAAACAGTCATTAATTGCAAATGTGTTCCCCTATACCTTTTAACTCACTACCATACCAACAATAACCGTCGAAGGTTGCCGTTGGTCTTCACAACTAACAACTTAAAACTGATGAAAGACTTGACCGACAAGGTAGAAATGGAACAAGTCTTGGTATCTCAGTTTTCTCGCATTTCCAGTGCATCGCTCTACCAACTGAGCTACAAATCCTATTCGAGGCAAGGAAATTTTTCATCAATTTTAATTGAAACGTCTGCATGCCAACAAAATCCAACACACTGTAAGTTATAATAATATAGGTACTTAACAGACGAAGAAACTTGTAAAAATTGTAATATTAAATTTTTACCCTTTAGTTTTAATTGCATGTTCATAGTGTCGATTTCAGCTTGCAATTTCCAAATTGTGCGCATTAAATTGTAAATCCGAACATCTTGCTTTCGTTTTTCTTCGGAAAATTTCAAATTATCTTTGCGGGCTTTTGCGGCGATACGTTGATTCACTGTCAGCTCTGACTCGATTTTTGTCTCCCATTCAGATATCTAAAAACTGTGTAGGTAATAATAGTGCAAAATAAGAAATAATATTATAAAACAATACTTGGCTAATCAACAAATTCACACTGCTAATTTCGTTTTGAAGATCCAAATTTAATTTTTCATGTTCCAATAATTCTTCGTTGGCTTTTTTGAATGTTAACTTTTTCTCTTGTAATTTGTTTTCTACTTCTTGCCTAGCAGCTACTATAGTTTGAACATTGTTTATCAGCTCTTCCAAAGATTTGTGATGCCTAGAAACAAAGTTGTTTATTTGACAGAGGAATTTGAAAAAAAAAAAAACATACTGGCAAACCATTTGCTGTACTTCATGAGCCTGCACTGCAATTTGTTCCGTTTCTTCATTTTTCTTTTTGCTTTCAGTTTCGCACTCAAAAATCTCGTTTTTCAAACAATTAATCTGAGACAAAAAATGCTCCTTGAGAGCCGCTTGAAATGTTTGCAACAGCGGATGATCGGGGCTCAAAACTGCATTACCTGGCTGTTCGGATTTCTGAGTTGTACTCATGGTTCAATCTTTGTTTGGATTGTTAGTAAAACCAATTATTGTAAACTGTAATAATTTGTAATATTATTGGTTTAAGCTTGTTTTGTTAGTTTCATTATTTCTATTTTATTCACTCCTGTATGTATATTTTCATTCTGTTAAGGTGTCAGGACAAAATGTAGCTTGTCGTTAAACAAAGCTTTGTGTCGGTAGCTAGGGAAATCAGAAAATTGTTGCATGCTTGAAACTTTATGCGAGGCATTGTCTAAGGAGGACATAATATGATCCACTTTAAGCAAATTCAGGTATCAATGTAGAACTGAAAAGACTGGGAGGTTGGAAAATAATGTTGTCAATTCCATTAATAAGTGATACAGTTAAACAAATTGTTGAACATCTTCAAAATTGTTGTTGTTTCAAGTTTTTGATAGTTATACCCAAAAAAAAACATTTAAATTTATTATAAGGAATTCTGAAACATCAACGTTAGGCCCAAGCAACAAGTTTGAAGAAAACGTTTTATACAAGATATTGCACATTTCCTAAACTCCAGAAGTCGACTAGAAACCGTTTTAAAACCGTTTTGTTGGCTAAACTTCAAAATGAGTTTCCTAGAAACGTTTGTAACGACCACTTTATTGTGTGATCAAATAAAACACAGGTAAATATCAGCCTTCGGATAGCTTTATCTACAGTTCAAATATGTTTTTAATTTCAACAGAGGCGAAAGGGAGTCTGGAAAATATAATATCCAAAAGTGCTTCATTATAATGTTGAGAAATTAGGAACTAACTTACCTGAAAATAATCATAGGTAAACTAATCACAAGTAGCACTAAAACGTCTATTTTTATAGGGATTTATACCAATTTTTTTTTTTTTTTTATTATCGACTTCGACTCAATAAAACATAAATTTTTAGAAAATCTCAACTTGCTCAACGGGACAATAGGTTTGCTGGTTGAATGTTGGAAGTTCAAAATGTTTGATCAATAATTCCATTCACGTACAAGCAATACAGTTGATGCATTGCTTCTGTGATTACTGTTTATTTTACTGTAAGATAAAATTATTATAATATTTAAGCATATGTCTGTACCTATGTATCTTTGGTAAATAAACTTTATTATTATTATTATTATTGATTTTGAAAAGTTTTATAGTTACCATGGAAATCTTCTGAAATATACGGCCAAGAGGCGCCCAATCCCATTTCCTGTCTAAAATATTTATTTTATTTACAATCATACGACATGTAATGTTGACTTCAGCGCCGGCTTTAGGGGTGTGCAGAGGTGCTAACTAAACCTGACGGCAAAATTTGAGAGGCGGTAAATTGAGAAAATTAATATAAATGGGAATCATAAAAAAAAATAGAACTGTATTCAAAATATTATTTTTCTACTGACGTTTCATAATAGCAACTTTTCGATTGTCATTTCAGTTTTGAAACGACATTCTTTTAGGCACTGAGTGCGTGAAAGTTACTTTTAGGCACTCAGTGCGTAAAAGTGACTTTTGAATGCGTAAAAGTGACTTATGAGTGCGTAAAAGTAATTTTTAAGCACTAGTGCCTAAAAGTGTCATTCATTATTCAGAAATAAAAAACACACTAAACACATATTTGAATTTTGTTTTGTATTTATTATGAATATTGAAAATGGAATTACTGAATTGAACGTTTGGGTTACTCAAAACAGAACTTTGTGTTATTACCTACTTTCTAGGATTTTAATTATTGATGTCGAATTTTGAAAAGAAAATCGCATGAAAAGTGTCAGGTGTCAAGTAAAAGCAGGTAACAAAGATTTTGGGTGTAATCGACTTATTCACATGAAATAAAATTGTGTTTTTTTATTATAAAATGCCAGTAGAAAAAATCTTGTATACAATACGTTACGAAACGATGTCTTTTAGTCACTCGACGTGTTGTCCAACTCGGCTTTGCCTCGTTGGACAATTTTCACGTCGCGTGCCTAAAAGACGCTCATTTCGTAACTTATTGTATAAATAGCTATTATGACTCATGAGAGATGTTATAGTTATACAGGGTGTCCTTAGATAAACTGACACATTTTGCAGGTAAATATCTCGAAAACGGGAAAAGATAATGAGATGCGGTTTGTTCTGGGGACATAGAGATTTTTCAAAGTTTTTTTTCACATTATTGCCGAATTCTGAAATTTGCTGAAATTTGGTTTTACAGACATGCGATTTTTTGAAATAAAATGACTGTCTTATTTTCAATGAAACACCCTGTATCTTTTGTCATCGTCAGAAAGCCTGATTTTTCTACTTTTTATGTATGTATAATTTTTTTCAATTATCTTGAATCGGCATCGTGAAAATTGCACTTTGTCGAAGGGAATATTATCGACTAACCAAAAAAAAAAATTGAGAATTAATTTGTGTTTAATACTTTTATTAACTAATTAGCGCATAGTTAACTAATAATACAAGTATTAAACACAAATAAGTGCATATAAAACACAAATTAATAATTATCATTTTTTTTTTTGGCCAGTCGACATTACGCTCTTCAACCAAGTGCAATTTTTACGATTCAATTTCATGATAATTGAAAAAAATTATACATTTTTGTGAAGTAGAAAAGTCACGCATTCTGAGAATGACAAAATATGCTGGGTGTTTCGTTAAGAATAAGGCAGTATGTAATTATTTCAAAAAATCGAATGTCTGTAAAACCAAATTTCAGGATTCGTCAATGCCATGAAAAAAAAATTTTAAAAATCCTCATTCTTCCAGAACAAACCGCATCCCGTTATCTTTTCTCGTTTTCGAGATATTCACCTCTAAAATGTGTCAGTTTATCTAAGGACACCCTGTATATCAGCCCGGTAATGTAATTACCAACATTGCACCGGCAACCTTGCTTTCTTCGCTTCCATTTTCATCAAAATACCGGAATATTAGGTGTTGTTACGGAAAAGTATCGACATCGCGGCGCCGGGATTCCAAGAAATTAAATAAGTCACTTGTTCACGTCGGGCAGTGCGCTTTTTTCTAGAATGCTATTATATTCGATTCGATGTTTTTCTAGCTAAATCCTGAGTGCAATTTCGACTATATAAATAGAGCGTAGAAATAATTTAACTTCGCTGTAATTCGAGTTTGTTGTGTTTTAGTGAACCCGGAATCCGTGACAGTATTTATATTTATTTTCTAACTGTTCAAGCTGATAAAATGTGTGAAAAGGAAGATGGTGCTTTTTGAAAACGATAAAAATTTAAAAGAAACAGGAGAAACGCAATAAAATCTTGGCTCGGCATCTATATGTTCTGTTTATTAAGGTCTGTACTACTGTACTGTACTACTGTACTAAAGAAAGTGAGAGCGAATTCAAAACAGATTAATTAATAACACTATTTGGGGCCGGTTTAATCACCTTCTGAACTATCAGGTAGGTATGCAATCTGGCGAATAAAACACAATCTTTAATCGGCCAGTTATCCGCCGACCAATAGAATTATAGAACGGTTAATTTATCTTGCAAATAGTTATCAGCAAGTTTATCTGAAGGTGAATAAACCGTGCCTTGCTATATAAAATTTTAAAAAAAGGGTTGGTTTTTAGGATATGCAATGGGTTGCGTCATGCTTTCTTCACATACTGTTACACTCTCTTTGTGAAAAAATAGGCATTTGAAAAAGTATGTATTTACCCAATTTTTTTTTTTTGCTAAAACAAAATCTAGGAAAATAAGTTTTTCTCAATAGTTAGGTGTCTCCTTAACTTGCCTTACTTTAGCTTGAACCTCCTTTGGTTTGATCACCCTGCTTCACTTTGTTTATGTTTCTCTTGAGTTTATTTATGTATTTATCTCGGTATTTTCACTTACTTTTAATATTGTAACAGAATTTATGTGCGCCTCCACCACGGTATCCAGAGTACATGCCAAAATTCCAGAATAGGGAATTCTCATAAGAAATAAATATGGCTTATTTTGTTTTTATGGTTGAGTGTGTGAAAATGTGTAAAACTTCCTGGATTATGTGTGCACATAAACACTAATTATTCAGGTATGATATTGTAATGTTTAGTTTATTTATGTATGACATGTTCTTTGTTTCCATTTATTTTAGTGCTTGAAAAATTAAAAATATACTATAAGGCGATTTTCAGCCTGGAATGATTATTTCGTTTTAACCAATGCATTCCCGCTGTAGCGGTTTTTACCAAAGTAGGGGAAGTTGTGACGTCACGGATCAGCTGATTTGCTTTTGGTATTTACCAAAGTTCCTAAAGTAATAGGTTGCCTGGTAATGGGTAACTTGATGACGCATCTGGGATGCCTAATGGAAATTTGGATTATGTTGAGGCACCCCGGATGAATGATAAAGTTATCAGGCAACCTACCTCTCTCAAACAACCTTGGGTATTTACCACTTATAACCGATTATAACCCATTATAACTATAATCTTTTGGTTACAGCTTTTTCATGTTATTGTTATTATTTTGGGGACTGGTATTGATGTTTTGTAATTTTGCGGTTCTTCTGTGGCCAACGGAAGAAGTATACACTCTCACGTCAACTCACCAACATCCCCAAAGAAAATCTCTTCGATAAACCAGACTAACGAGAGATTCCGCTCCATTTTTTATGTAAACAAGAAACCATTAATAAAACGAAAAAACGAATAAGAATAATAAACATAACCCTACACTGCTCTAACCAAGTAATTTCAGCGGTTAGTTCCTTGGGTTATAATTCTTGAGTGGTGGGGTCCAAGTAGAATTATAGTGACAGAAACAGATAGCGCAACTTCTGCTGAGTGGCTATCATTCATTAATCACTTTATATGCCCCAAAGCAGTGAGAATATCTTCATTTTATATTTGCATATTTGTTACTCTCACCATTGACAGCAACTCCAAGATTTTATAACTTTTTGGTGCTACTGAAGGTGATTGAAACGTAATAACTACGAAACGGGTTCACTTCAAAGTTTTCCCATCTTTGAAGTAGAAAATAATAGTTACGGCAACCATTGGTCAACTCAACTATAACTTTAAAGTAGCGCCACTGGATTATATAACCAATGTGGTGGTAGCCACGTTTTTGGTACGCGGTTAAGTGATTTCCACATGTCGCATGCAAT